CACGTAGCTCAGTGGACTAAACTGCGAGAAGCTCATCAGATCTTTCTCTCCTTGCTATGTAGACAATTATAGTCTGACAATCACACCCTCTATAATAGTGTTTTTATAAGTATAAAAAGAAAAAATAAATAGAAAAAATATATAACATACTTTTAAAGGAGGGAGTACACAGATCCTAAATTATTTAATGCAAGTCCCTGCATTATATTATTTCTCTATACATAATACACATAGTCAGAGGCCCTATCACTTCAATAGAAGAATCAAAATTTTTTGCTTGACTATCCCTAAGAAGACTATATTATTAAAAAACAGCTAGATTGCATATTTTTGCAGAACAAATAAACTGCCATTGCCAAAGCACTGAGCCCTTTGCTCTGTTGAAGCAAGAAGATTGTGCGCATGTTCAATCACACAACTCGCTAAAGCAAACTCGTATCAAGTAACTATAGAAGTCGTCTTATCAACACAAAAACAACCTAGTGTGAAAAGGTAGAAGAAAGAGTATTATTGGTAAAAAAAAAATCAAAAATTTAATTACAAAAAGGATTTATATGAGGGAATACTACTGTATTACCTTATACACAATAATTAATCCCATATCAATATTGTATGTGTTTGCTTATAATGATAATTGTTAGCCTCATATTTGTTTTTAAGAGGCAGATTACCTGATAAGCTATAAATATTCATACTCTTGTCGTGTATATATCGATATTAGCAATAATTTTAAATAAAGCATATTGATATGTGTATGTATCAGATGTTCGATCAACATACATCTACAAAATTTAATAAACATTTGCCAGTATACAGTATACAAATTTAGAATAAGGGGATGAATACGTACAAAGAAATATCATATCTGTAAATATATATCTGGCTTTATTTTAACATATGCGTTAAATGAGATTACGCAAAAATTTAATAATTTAAATTTCACTGATCTGTTATTTCAACAGTGGCTTAGCAATTTTATATAGATTTACGTATTAAAAAAAGCCAACAGCACTTCAACAGTGGCTTGGCCTAGGTCAAATGATCACTTGATATTTGAATTTATCAGTTCGAATGAGTAATAAAACCTTGACTGGCTTTAATAATCAATGGCCAGTATTAAATTTTATGCGGTGTTATTTTAATTTCTCACAGTCGAATTTTGATAATGAATATTGATATCTAGAAAGCCTTTTCTTATTATATATGATACTGCGATAAAAAAAAGTGTAAATAGAACTTAAAAGGGCTATAATAGAGAAGAGTACAACTTTCTTTATCGGTGGTATTATCAAATTTTATATGTTGTAGGAATTTGGAATTCACAGATCATCGAGATCGGTAACTTTTTTACTTTACAAGATAGATCGTCGAATCTAAGGGGTAATTTTACCAAAAAAATAACAAAATGGATCAGTGTTTGGAACTTATGATCGAGCGGAGTTGCTTTATAGAGAAAAAACTAGTATTAAACTTGGGTAATATAATTACTAATATATTTTTTTTCTAGCTAGTTCTTAGATCTAGTGGACTGAACGGTATAAAGATGAGTATATTTTCCTACCCGTAAGATAAGTTAGCAATAACATTATTTTTTACTTATATATAAATTTACTTGTCTACTTGTTTATAACTTATTTTTTAAGTAATTTGCTATTTTATTTAATGAAAACTATGAAAATGAATTTTTGCTTACTTTGTTTTTTGTATTTAGGTACGAAAAATGAGTAGTAACAAAAAAACCACCACCTCTAAGAACAAGAAAAATAAGACTCCCAACTATTCTAAATCAAAACAATACTAGCTGAGACAATTTTATCTTGTAAGTAAATTTTGTGCCATGCTAGTGCATTCGTGCTAAAATATTATTATCAGAACTAAAATTTTTATTTTACTAAAAATTAGATGATAATACCTGAGGAAAAATGTCAAAAAAAAACCTAGAACGTGATAGGGACAATGATGATAATGATTGGGTAAATCCTGGTAAACAGGATGATATGTTAGATCAAATGTAAACCTACCAACCTAGTCCATTAAGGGCACCTCAAAGAGGCATATATTTTTTTATTTTCTTATTTGTATACCATTTCAGTAATTTTTTTATAAAATAAAGTAGAGTCTCATAGCCTCGCCATCTTTTATTTAATGCAATTGTGTGAATGGGCTTTACTTATTAACCTATACTTTTACAGTTACTATCAGGATTAAATTTTGATATTTATTTATATAACAATAGAGATGATAAGTTTTTGTATTAATATAATTGCCACTCCTCCATTAGCCCTCTATATGATTTCTTTCTTATAGTTTTTATCACATAAAGGACAGGGTACAGATCTATTAAAATCAAAATAATTACTAGATTTAAAACTATATTTCAAAGTTAAATAAGAAAATCATTTTAATACCATTCCAATAACATGTTGTTGCCTTTCTTCTGGGTCTTTAGATAGAACAAAAATTGGTAATCGAGATTTTGATAGCGTAGACTAAATATTTACTTGCGGTACAAATAAAGTTTTCTTCTCAAAAGATTCAGAGAGTTTGGAATCCATCCAAAGATCGAGACCAGTTTCATTTTTATATCTTTTATATAATTTAGAACAAATTTTGTCAGTTAAAACACTTGGTAATCAAGTAAATTTATTATTCTATTTCAAATATTTGGGAGTTAATATTTTATTGACCTGTGTATTCATGTTCCCATTTTATATAATTGCATGTTTTTTTAAATTAACACTACCCAACAAAAAATGAACATGCCTCAGAGAGACATCTTAATGACTTAAGCGAATTGTATTAGCATAAGATAGCGAAGCTAGTGTCATTGATGCTTAAAATTCATGCTGTTGCCTCAATTTCAATTCCATGCTGTTCACAATTAATATAATAGGAATCAGCTTCATATTTGTCTTTTATACCATTCTTATCATCATGATTTTGTTTGCATAATGGACATAATGTCTCATCGTTAATTCTATAATAATCAAATTTTTCATTATTACCTTCTGAATATAAATCAGAATATTGCTTTAATGTTTTATTACAGAAATAAGTACAGTTATAAACTGGATTAGATAATGTATTTACCTCAGTCTCTAGTAAAGATTTGTTATTCTCACCTATCATATTTTCTGAATTAGAGGCATAGGATAATTTAGTAGATATACTTACTTTTGATATATCTTTTGAGTTAGATAGTTCAATCATATGCACATTACAATTTGTATTGCTGATCATTTTTTGATATTTAGTCGAAGAGATATCTACATTAGAATTTTTAGAAAAACAGTTTATAATAATATCTTGAATCTGATTGTCAGTTAGACTCGAAATTGCACTTGCACTACATGTTATTGCTTGAACTTTTTCTAATCCTATTTCTATAAGTAATGTATAAATTTTTTTTGCCCTGAATATTCTTTGATGCAAATTTACATCACTAACATCTGGGAGAAGTGCTTTTATCTCATTATATACCAATGTCCTTGCTGATTGGTCATCAATTTTATTTATACATTTAATGTTCTAAACTCGATCCTCATATGCTTTATAGTAGCAATACCAGTATAAAATCTCTTTTTGTCTAACTTTTATTGATATAATAAACAAATTAGCTATATTTTGTGCTATAATTTTGCTAGATCCTGTTATGATTGCTTCTAGTGAGAATTCAGGAATTTGTATATCAAATACTTCACTAACTTAATTATTATTATCTGTAATAAACAAAGATAAGTCACGCTTTAAGTCTTGCTCGACTTTTTTATTATATGGAATTTTTACTTCAGTATTTTGTACTTGATTGATAACTGGATTTATCTTATTTTGTATATCAGAAGCATTTTGCACTGATCCTTGACTCTGAAGTTTCTTTTTCTGATTTCCTTCTCTTATTTCATTACTGTTTTCTTTATGTACCCGATCTAGAAATTCTTCGATCTCTTTATCTTCTGAAGATTTAGTTTTTATGCAAATTAATGCAGAGCATTGAGTCACTGTTTCCTGACATACATCAGGATTTGAAGCATTATCAGATACATTTTAAGATATATCTGAAAAAGCACTATCAGGTTCATCAGAATTTGATATATTATCAGTTATATCAGATACGGAAGTATTACTATATTGTGAGTCTATTTGTTTAAGATTAACCTCAGAGTTCATTTCACAGAAAGCATTGATATTAGCCAAATATTGTTCTTCTGGGACGAGTGTACTTACCTGTTTAATTTTCTCAATATCGTCGCCCAATTTAGCAATATGTTTTTTATTATCTTTAAGCTTAATATTTTCAGCATGAGGTTGGCAGTATCTGCTTTATTTTTCTTTTCTAGCTCTTCGAATCGGATCTTAAGTACCGCATATTCTTCCAAAGATTGTTTTAATTTTATACTTTCAGTTTCAACCTCTGTGAACTTTTTTCTAAGTTCATCAATCTGAAGAACAAGTCTGGAATTTAATTCTCTTAATGATTCTATTGTAGGTTGCGTATTCACCATTGTTTTTATTTAAGATATGAGTATATTCAATTCATCATGGAGATAAAAGTCATGTGTGTATTACAATTTGTAACGCTGATGCCAAGAAAAATTCTCTATCGATCATATGTGAATTAATGTATATCGATAACAATATAATAAAATATATTCTCAAAATACACATGTAAAAGTGAACATGATTATATATGCAAAGAAATCAGCTACCAGGGCAAGCTTTATTGATACGATAGAAAAGTAAAATAATTATTCCTATTGCTAATATACTAATAGTATTTTTTTCTAACCCTGCTTTTATAATAAAGTTCTGTAACTCTACTATATAAATTTAAACTAGTTACTCAGTTTCGATCTTTTCCAGCCAATTATCATTTGCAAACCACTAAAATTTTAAAATTTGTTAAGATATATTACTAAAAAACAAAAAAACATATATCAATCTATTATAATCATCTCTCTAAACATATCTTTTACCTGATCGAGAGCAACTGAAGTGGTTGGTCATTTATTTGGATTACTTTTGCACAAATCTGTGCTGAAACTTGAAAGTTTTGAAGGAATACCTGTGACATTACATGAACTAATTAAATTTCTAACGCCCCATATATCATCCTTAAAAACATGCTTTTTATTTAGCATTTCAGGAGCATAATCGCTTTCAGAAAATTCTTCTAAAGGCTCATCAGAAGGGGAAAAGTCAGCATAGTCAAAGTCGATTAAAATAAATCTTTGATATTCCTCATAATAATGAATAATGTTTGGCCATTGAACATCTCTGTGCATTATCAGTTTGGGCTTACTTTCGTGTATACACTGTTTGAATATTTAAAAAATATATAAAAATAATATATATGTAATAGTGAAAATATCACAAACTTTACCTTTAAACAAGTTAGTGTACAAATTAATACTTGCAGTAATTCTTTAAGATCATTTGGTACTCATTGTTCTCCACGGGCAACAAATTAACTGAATGTGTAGATGCATGTTCTAACTTGTTACAAAATCTAACTTTATTTGCAAATATAAATAGTTAGAATAATAGTTAGAATATGCCCTAAAAAGATAGAATTTTTGGACATTATCGAACTTACATATAACACTCTATAAATTTCTTTTAAATGTGTAACTCAGTCTTCGTCTGCAAATTTTTTTTTAACTGCATATCCAAGTTCAATAATAGCTCCACTTGGTCAAATAATTGTTTGAAATTCCAGAAAATTTCTCGAAGAACATAAATTCACTATAATAGGTAATATGCGACCTAAATAACCATATAATATGTTAGTATTTTGAAATAATAAGTTAATTACAAAAAGCACTTACAAATATTTCAAAGAAAATTCATAATGCGAATTCTATCTGATAAACGCCCTAAATCAAACTCTGCAATCTGATTAGAACAAACGTTTAGTTTCCTCTTCTTATTTTCAGATTTATACAAAGTAACAAATGTGACTTGAACACCAATAGCATAGTATGCAAAGATGTATAGTACATCTCTGTAGGTCCAATCTTTGATTTTGTTAATTAATTCACTTGAAGGATCTCCCGCTTCGTTCTAAGACTTTTCTTCACCTCGAAGAAGACAAATATTTCTCACTAATATAACCATGTCTGGGCAATTGCGACCTATGAATTTGTTTTTAATATATATCATACTGATTAATCTCTACAACATACTTTACCTGTTGAGGTTTACTTGCTAGTATTGCGATCAAATTCCAATGTTGGTAAACTAGCGCTATGTATTCCAAAAATCTCTATCGTATTTTTAATAATACTATCCCATAAATCATAATACGAATCTTCAGTTTTTCCATATGATGGAGGGTAAATTAACTGTCCTAAAAGTCTTGAATAAAATAATGTATATCTGCTTCTGTACTTAGAACAAAATATGTATCTCGTTCTTTTTCAGTTATGCCACCCAGACCTGTTGTACTAAATTAGTAATAATGATTGGGAGCAAGCAGATTTTTACTGGAGGATTTTTGGTAAGGAAATTTGTCAAGTCAGATTTATGAGGAAGTTGATCAGGACTTCGAATTAATTGCTTTATTATTTCAATAGAAATATCTATAATAATGAAGTAGTCAAAATAAGAGCAGAAGGGAAAAAAGAAGAATTAAAGAAAATGGAACTTATCTTTTGGTGTTACTAATATGGAGGGTGCTACTAATATGGAGGAGATAATACACATTAGTTGGTTATTTTTTTCACCAAGTTTATTTTGCTTTTATTTAACATTAGTTGCTATTTATTTAAGAAAATTGGCTACAATACTGAGTTATACCAAAATTTCTGAATTTGTTCTTTGGTTTGGTATTCTTCTAGCTAAATACTTTTTATCTTATTGCTAACTTTTCTTTTGTTTATAAACTGGTCTTGAAAGTGTCCTCGAACTTCTTCAAGTACCTTTACTAGATTAGTTGCTAGCTTGGGTGATTCTGAATTTTGTGTAAATACTCTGTTTAGTACTATTTTATTACAAGGCCACTCTAGTAGACTTGCTGCATTTTTTTTTTGATTAGTGGCAATTTGCTCTGCTCTCTTTTTAATATAATGTTAGATCTTACTTCTCTTAGTTTGTTCTGTATTTTCTTCTAGCTTGCCTTCTATTATTTTCTACCAAATAACTGCTTCATTTTGCTATATTGATATTTCTGTTGGAGTAATTTCTTTGATGCTACTACCTGCTCATATATTCACATTTCTGATCTTTTTGTTTAGATATCAGGCCTTTTCATTAAGCTCTTCTTTGTTTAATTGCTTTGTTTTTCTAATTTATTTAGAAAACAGATTGCTTTGTAGAGCTTATTTTTTTTATTTTTGTCTTCTGTTTTCTTCTTACTATTGATTGGTTTGTTTGGTAGATTACTTTTACTAACTTGTACAATTGCTTTTTTTATTAGCTTCCAGATCTGATTGAGGCTTGACTCCATTTGTGCCACAGCATGTAACTTTATTTCAAGTAAGTCATACTTGAGTGCATTTAGTAGTTTGTTATTTAGTTTACAGATTTTTTTAGTAGTTTATTCAATTTTTTTTTATAGCCTTGTTGAGTATCCAGACTCTTTATTTCAGATTGTGTAGAGTTTTAGCATGCTAATTATTCAAAGAAGCTGAATGAGTCTAGCTTATTTTTGCATATACAAGATTATGATCACTTCCTGTAACTATTGTTATAATTTTAATATCTGCTTCTTGTATTAACTTAACTAACTCACTCGATACCCAAATTTAATTTATTATTGTTGCTATTGTGCTATTGCTCCAAGTAAACTTTTTTTTGTCTGGGTTAAAAAGTCTGTAAATATCTGTGAAGTCCTGCTCTCTGAGCTATCTGTGTAGTAGTAGTTTTTTGCTATTTTTGACTTGAAATGACTTGTCCAAAATTGGGTTAATTATATAGTTAAAGTTTTCTATTACAATTATAAGTTCATTTTTCTGTCTCTTACTTATTTTCTCTTGAACTATATTTTCTATCTCTTTCATAGTCTCTAGATTATTTAGAAAAATGTATACTGTAATTACTACTACTTTGTAAATTTTAAAATAAAAGTGTACTATTAGCAAAAATTTACTTGGTTAGACTATTTTGCTTATAAATCTTCTTTAACAAGCAGACTAACTCTAAAACTTTTTTTTTTTGTCTTTGAATCTAATAACCAAATTAATCTAAATTTAATATTGTTTTTTATTACATATTTAGCTTCTACTTCATGTAAATTTGTTTCTGTTATCTCTATTAAATTATAGCTCTCTTCTTCTCCCTAGTTCAACAACATGTTTACTCTATGTTTATGAATATTTAGCTTATTATTATATGTATTGCTATTTTGATTTGCCTAACCAGTCTTGTGGTATTTGTTAGTACTTGTTGTGCCTAAACCTGGTTTTTATTCAGAGTATCTAAACATGTTTTGACAACTGTGGCCATCTTTATGAGCAGTTAGAAACCTTATTCTCTACTTGCCATTCTTCTAATAATTCTATCATTCTTAAAATCTCAAGCAACAGATCTGTTTGAGTATTCTTGCCTGCTTTCTTTTTGTTTGAAGTTTTCTCCAAAACTTGGTTTGAATCTTTTTTTAATCTTTTTGCTTAACTAGTAGAAGTTTGCAAATTTTTGTCTATAAATTTGTGCTTGAATCTAGTAGAATTCTCTTTTTTAACTCTTTTTATAGCTTTTGTCTGTGGGCTTATATTTTCTTTATTTATTGTTTACTTTTTGTTAATAGCTTTATATTTTAGATTTTTAATAGTGCAATTACTTTGTTGACTTTCATCTTCAATCTCTATATTAACTCTACTGGTTTTTTATTGTTATTGGCTTGTAGTTTTGCATTTCTATAATAGTTTTAAGAACTTGTAAAACTTTTAAGTTCTTTTGTTAGAAACTTCTACTTTAGCTTGGTATCAGAGTAATACAGATTTGTCTTTTGAGCTTGGTGCAAATCTTCTTCTGTTTTGAAGTATAAATATGCTCTTCTACTTTGGTTGCTATTGCAATTACTTAATATATATACTGCTTGAATATTGTATTTTCTGAGTTGACAAAGAAGCAAGCTGTCTATTGCTATTATTAGCATATTAAATATTATAGTCTTGTATTTGTTTCATTTTTTTTAATTCCTCTATATTAAACTTTTTTGGCATTATTTTATGGATTTTATTCTAATCTAGGTGTATAGACCAATTCTCTTTTAGTGAGTTTTTTCAGTTTTCTAATCTTTATATAATTTTAATAAAAGCTGCTTTGGTTATAAAGTTTTATTGCCAGGCCAAGATTGTTGCTATACCAAAGTAATTAAGAAATCTCTTAATTTCTCTTACTTTTATATCTTTTGAAAGATTCCAAAGTGTAAAAAAATATAATAACTCCTTTATATAGTTTTGCAACATAAAGCTATCTCATAGCATCCAAGCTAAGTTATAGATATTTTCTTGTATTTTATACTTCTTGTAGCTCTTTTTTCTTTTAGTTATGAGCTCTTTTTCTGCTATATATTCCTAAAACTATAATCTATAATACCTACTTCATTTTGTACTAAGATGTTTTGCCTTACTTCAAGCTTAATTTTATTGTTGCTACTGGTATATTCCTCTTCTGTAAGGCTTTTTTTATATAATAGGGTTGTGATATTACTTAGAAAATTATTTCTGCAGTTGCTTGTTAATACAACTAGTTTTGTATAACTAATTTCTATATCTGATAATATAGTTTTGCTTTTGACTTTTTCCTCTTGAGTTGTATTTCTAATAATATTCTTATGTTCTAGTAAACTTTTCTCATCTTTTAATATAGTATCATGTCTAAACTTCTTGTTTTTTGCCTATTTGTATTTGTTTTTTATGCTACTTATGATTGCAATTAAAAATATATCACTTGTATCCAGATACTCTGCAATATGCTTGTCTTGTTTTATCATAGTTAAAGTTTGTTTCTTGTATAATGCTGATTTTTTTTTCTTCTGCTTTGTTAAAAAAATTCTTATAATCTTTGAATAGAAGCATCTCGAATATTATGCTATTGTGTATTTAATTAAAGGCTTAATAGTATAATAGTTTAAAACTTGAACTTTACATGCTCTTATTCTTATATTATATTAATAATTAGCTAAAACTTATATAACTACTACCTTCTTTTTAGCAAAACTTAAATATATAATAGATTATACTAATTAATCAATATTAGCCTATATTAAGGGTTAGATTAGAAAAAATTAAAAAGAAGAATTAGATATAATCTATACCAAAATTATAAATAAATTTTTTTTTTTAAAACACCAAGGGCAGTTTTATAAACAAAATTATAAAATAAAAAGATTTTTAATTTTGTTAATAACTTGTTACAAATTCAAAATATTGTTATATAGAGTGAAGTTAATAAATTTTTTTTTAAGTAAAGTTTTCTTAACTTTAAGCTTAAATATTTTAGCAGTTATTTTATTAAATTTTATAATTTTTTTATTTTAATTTTATATAAATTTATAATTAAAATAAAAAAAAAATTTAGCAAATTTAATTAATTAGTTGTTGAAATATTTTAATTTAAAAGTTAAAAAATTGTACTAAAATAATTTGTTTCTTTTTTATTAACTTTACCTTATATATAAATTAACCTCTGATTAACTAAAACTCAGAAGTATATGATTAATAACTATACTTATTATACATCTTTAAAAAGTCATAAATTACTTATTAAATATTTAAAAAAACTCTTAATTACTATGATATATAAACTTTGCAGTATATTAGTTTAAGCTTTCAAATTATAAAACTCAAAAAAGTTAAAAATTAATTGTATTATAAACCTTTGTATTATTGTTTAAAGCATATTATTATATATAGAGGTAAGTTAATAGAAAAGTGACAAATCATTTTTAGTAAACTTTTTTTAATTTTTAAATTAAAATATTTCAACAACTATTTAAACAAATTTGCTAAAAATTTTTTTTATTTTAATCTTGAAATTATATAAAATTAAAATAAAAAAAAATTTAATAAAATAATTGTTGAAATATTTAAGCTTAAAGTCAAGAAAACTTTTACTTAAAAAAAATTTGTCCTTTTTTTTTACTAACTTATCTATATATATACTTATTATTTAATTAGAAATATCACTATATATATATCACAATATTGTTGTTTTATTAGTAATATATAAACTAAAAATAATATATAATATAATATAATATCAACAACAATTTAGAAAAAAGCTAATAATCATTACTGCAAGATGATTTTAACAATTAGCTACCCTTATTATTATTAATATTTGTCTAAAAAAGTATATTTAGCTTAAATTAATTATTTAAAATCTTAAATATAAAAAATATAGCTAAAAAAATAAAGCTTTTTTAGATTAATTGAGAATAATTAAAACCTATTAAAACTATTATATACAAACAGATAAATATAAGATAAAGTTTATAAAGAAGTTAGAGTTAAAAAGAGTAATAGAAAAAATATAGTATTAACAGATAAAGATAAATTTATTAAATTATTTATTGTAATTAATTATATAGTTGCTTTAAATATAATAATATTTATACTTTTTAAAAAGTTAGCAATATATAATTAATTGTATAAATTTTTAAATTTATAAATATTATAAATATAAGTAGCAATGTTTATTTTTTTAAATTAAAGATTTAAATATTTTAGTATATTTATATATATAATTTAGTAACTTAA